ATGATCGAATTTTATGTAATCCATGATCGAATTTTATGTAATCCATGATTGAATTTTTTGAAATTTGTGATTTTTTTTTTTAATCCATGATCGAATTTTTTTTGTAATCCATGATATAATTTTTTGAAAATTTGTGATTTTTTTTAATCCATGATCGATTTTTTTGAAAATTTGTTATTTTTTTTTTTTAATCCATATTATTCAAAGAGAAAATGAGAGAGATGATGATTCTGAGGCCACCCTATCCCAGCCATATTATTCACATATCGAGTCCCAACAGCAACAATGTAGGGATGAGCACGAAATACTGTAAATTAAATGCTAAATGACGGTTCATGCAGGGAAAGAACATATCAATATTCGCATATTCATTGAAAAACATAAAAATTCTTAATGGAGTACCCTCATTTTTTATTGAATTCCTAAAAAAAATATTTATAATGAGTTTTAATAATTTTTTCGAATTTTTTTTAAGCTTTATTCTGACCGATTCACCCGATTCTCGATCGGGATCGCTGATTCTCTGATCCGAATAGATTTTTTGGAAGCCCGATCCGAGTCACCGATCCGTTTTTTAAACCATTATTAAAAAGTATATATCGTATACGATGACATCAGCCGGTTTCGAAGCAATTTAGAATTGATTTATATTCTCCCCACCTGAAAGGAAAGTGTTATGGTTCACGTGAGGTGAGAGAAGTCAGGCTGCTCTACCGTCAAAACGCGGACAAAGCGTCGGTCGACGTCTTCCTTCCGTTAACCCTTCCCAGTCGCCGTTACGAAATCCGTTACGCGTGTGACAAAGGGAGATCTCTTTTTTTAAGAGAACCCTTCCTCTCTCATATAAGTTTCAGTCTTCTCTCTTCCCTTGTTATGGACGGTTTGAGACCGCGCAATAAACGGTTTTAATTGCAAAAAAAAAGAAAAAAAAGAAGAGGAAATAGAGAGACAAATCAGTCAAAGTATTTCAAGGTGATGCCGCTGAAGTTTTCAATTTCAACTAAAGCTGCAGTCAATGCTTTTTAATTGTCATGAATTCTTGGCTACTCATTCATTTTTGTGTTTAATTCCCCATTTAATTTAGCAAGCTCTTCAAGTATGGTGTGTTTGTGATTCTCGAGCTTCATTAATGGCAAAGTATTTGTATCTCTACAGATATAGTTATGGTTCCTTTTCACTGTTTTAATTATTATTATTTTTTGGTTGGGTATAAGAGTTTTTATTTTTAGGGTTGTCTGTGAGGATTGTTGGTTTTTTTGTGCTTTATTTGAGTCCATGTTGGCGATTCAAAGGATGGCGGTTGATTTATATAATTTTTAATAATTAATTGTGCAAGGAATTATGTTCTGTTGTTTCTGATTTTTAAGTAATTTGTCCAATCATTTTTACTTTACTTCTCAAGCTTTGTAAAATTTGGAAATTAATGGGTGGATGTAATTGCTGCCCTCAATTAAGGCTGAAGTTCCCTTTTTGCTGGGTGTCTTTTTTCCCATGAGTTTAAAAAATTTATGGTTTTAGGGTTTCTATGTGAATGCTCTTTTTGGAACTCAAATGTTTTCAATCGTTGTGTATTACGAGCAACAGATTGTAATATATTTTAAGGGATTTTTTTAATAAGTATGAGTTTTAAATGAAGAGACATAGAGTTCCCTGTCGCCAATTTTTAGGTTTTTTGCTCTGTAACTTTCAATTATGGAAATGATCATTTGGGATTTGTTTTCTATTCTTGATAAGGCCTTTAAGGGAATAAATTCTAGATTTCTGGGCAGGAAACTGGTGTTGTATATTGGTTTTCGAATCCTCAGTTATTGTACAGTGTAGACCGTATGGGTATGGATTTTTGTGGGTATCCTTTCGATTACTGTGCATTTTAAATAGAGCTCTACATTAGATTGCTCAATCTTCTATGAGTTGCTTAGGGTAGTAGACTTCGTATTACGATTGCTTGAATTCCTTCCACTTGAGCTAATAGATTGTATGGTAAATGAAAGAAAGCCCTGCATGTGCATGTCTTGTTCACATGATTTCTTTTGTTAACTTTACTTTTTCATGTGCGAGGCAAATAAGAAAATGACTGCATAGTCACTGTTACCCATAATTTAACGAAAAAGTTTCATATTTTGGTTGATGATTGGATCAGTTAACTGTTGGAAGCTTTTATGTTGGACTGAGGTTGTAATCTGTTACTTTTTATTATATTCTATGAAGTCAAAGAGTTTTTCTCTTTGGAATATGCCTGATGGAAAGAAGGCACTGAAAACACTCGACCAAAATAAGATTTCACCATACAAGAAGGCACTCCAATAACTTATTGAAGATGGAATTTTTTATTTATCATTTAGAAAAATTATCCAAATCCACATTAGTAACTGATATATTGTTATGCACACAATTTCAGGGATTGGGATTCAGAACCATTTCATTATCTCTAGATATCCAGGTCATAAGTTTATTTGTAACATTTTGAAATCTTTGTTTTCCCTAATGGACACATGGAGTCCATTTTCTCAAGTCTCTAACCTGCTTGATTGCTTCAATGCCACTCCTTACTCTGGTTTCATGGTGTTCTGTTTTTAGTAACGTTTAATTTCTTCTAATCTTTGGTTTGTATGCCCAGTAGGTTCTAGTTTTACTTGCTTTTGGCCTTCTCATTATAAGTTTTTGTGATATTGGTGGATGTTGTGGATAGTCTGCTTGATACTGATGGAATAACTTTTTTGGGTTGGCAGCAAGCACTGAGAGCCATCTTCCAGGTTGGAACTTTTGTATGATACTTCTGCATTGCCACGTCTTTTGTTGTTAAGTTTATCGGGAATTCATCCCAATCTTTATGGGGAAAAGATTTAAAGGAAGGGAAGAACATGTATTGAAGGCAACTCATTGAACTAATTGCGGAAGGTTTCTTTTGAGGTAATAATATCCTTTACAATTCAAGTGGAATGCTTTATCAAAAAAAAAATTCAAGTGGAATGATGATGTATCTGCTCATCCAAATTTTATGGCTGCAGTTTGTTAGATTCCTGTGTTTGGGGTATGCACTCTGTTCTTCCATTTGACATCTAGAAGCATCTAAAATTGTCTTGCAGTGCTGCTTTTCTCAGTATGCTTCTGGCATATGATAGTTAAATTTGTGAACGTTGATTCTGACATTGAATTAGATCACAGGGTGTTTTGTCTCCCAAAATATAATTTGCAAAGTTTCCATGTTTAATTCCTTAATTCTGCATGGAAATCAAAATGGTTCAAGTCATTGTTAATTTTCCAATGTAAAATATAAAATTATATTACCATGCAGTTTCCAAAAAAAAAAATAAAGGAATTATATTACCATGATCTTAAATAATTAAAACTTACTGAGAATAGTAAAAGACACAAAAACAGGTTTTAGATAACTAATTAGGGAATTTTAGACATTTTTTCAATCTATATTGAACATTTGGCAGATAATCATTGAAGTTACTAAAAAACATTATACAAGTGAGGGATGCAATTGAGGTGGGATTGGCAGACTTGTATCTGCTTCTTGATGGAAACAAAGAAAATCACCTTTTTTTTGGAGGATCGTTTCGAGATAGACCATCATCAGGAAAAAGCAAAAGCATATGATGGCAAGATATTGATCTTGTGTTTCTTATATCTGAATCCATTGTGTAGCTTATGAGCAAACGTTTTTGGCTAATTAGTCTTTCGCTGTACTTCCTACTTTAAAGATGTTGCTTTGCACGCTCCAGAAGTCTATATATATGCCATGAAACATCTTTTTTTTTGGGGTAAGTTACTATGAAACATCTGAAATATGCTTTTGGCTGATGTCTCTTAATTCTTATAGAATAATGGGAAAAATAAATTGCTGGGATTTTCCATGGGGACTTGGTTAAAGAACCCCATGAACCCCATGTAAACTAGTGTGCCTGCTGACATAAGCACCTTCTCTGGTACTTGTAGTTGTAAGAATCTTTTGAGAGAGGATAGTGTTTGCATAGTCATTGCCTTTCTTTTTTCTCTCCTGTGCGTTTCTATGGACTTTCCTAAATTCAAAAAATATGCTTTAGGTGTTCTACCCTGTCATTTTCGTTTGTTATTTGTAAGGTGTGGTTAAAAAAATTCAGGACTTTTAGAATACATCTTAATGAATCACTTCATATATGGTTTAGAAAATTACGTGATGTATGTTTTCCTTTTTCCTTTTTTATCTGGAAATTGGGGGAACGTAATGGCCTGACACATGGATGGAGGGTTGGAAACTTTGAAAATAAGTTTTGGATTTTGGTGTGATTTGTAAAGAGATTGCTAGAAATTTCATTACATATTTGACTTTGTTTCTGCTTTTTTCTCTCTTTCTTTGACTTTGGACATTTGACTTAGAGGATCTTTTATTTTTCATCTTAGTAACTTTGGTTCTGTAAATATGAAAGATCATTCTATGTACAATCGTTTTTCCAGTATGATGATGTTACTTTCTTTTCAACACATTTTCAGGGGGGAAGTTTATTTTTGATGAGCTGAACACTGATTGCAGCTGTCTTTAAAAACAGAGGCAAAACTTTACTTGTTTGGTGCAGCACACGAACTATCTGCACAGTCCATGCAGTGCTAGTAGTAGTATGGACATGAACGAGCTTTTCAGCTATGGTGGAGATATATCCTATGCATTCTCTACTAGCTCTTCTGTACCATCATCTGAATGGGTATATGGCCCTATGAAATTCAATATTGGGAGCTCTCCAGACTCACCTCTCTCTACCCAATTTGATTATGATACTCTCTCTACCACATTAAGCAACAGCCAGGAGCAATTCAGCTCCACTGAAAATCACGACAGAGGTATCAGCCCTTCCCATAATTCCTCCTTAGATTCTGAGAGTGTTCTCCAGAGATCACCCCACACCATTCAAGATCGCTTTCAAGCGTCAGCGGGTGGAAGCACCGGGTCTTCTTTCATTACCCCTGGTGCTGCCTCTTGTATCCGGAACATGAAGCATGCACTCTTGGAATTGGAGTCAGCTCTCATGGCTCCAGATGATGATGAAGAGGTAACAAATCAATCTAAAGAGAGAAAGCCTGAAAATACAAAGCGACGCTTTGTTGCCTCTAGTCAGGCTGCAATGCGGGGCCCCCCATTAGCACGGTCTAACAGTAAGGTTCAGAAAACTTCTCATGGTGACCCACCTGAAAAACCATGCATTGAAAGAGGTGGACATGGGGATCCACAGCCATGTGGACATGGGGATTCACAGCCATGTGGAAATGTAAGGGATCTTTTGATCGAGTGTGCGAAGGCCCTCTCTCAAAATGAGATCGCAAACTTTGAAAGGCTCATATCAGAAGCAAGAAATGCAGTCTCAATAAGTGGTAAGCCAATCCAAAGACTTGGGGCCTATATGTTAGAAGGCTTAGTTGCTCGGCAAGAAGCCTCTGGTTCAGTGATCTACCGCTCTCTCAAATGCGAGGAACCCATGCCCTTTGGCAAGGAACTTCTCTCTTATATGCATAAACTCTATGAGATCTGCCCTTACTTCAAATTCGGGTACATGGCAGCTAATGGGGCTATTGCGGAGGCCTTCAGGACTGAGGACTGGGTGCACATAATTGACTTCCAAATAGCCCAAGGCACCCAATGGGTCACCCTAATACAAGCCTTAGCGGCTCGCCCTAGTGGCCCACCTCATGTCCGTATAACTGGAATTGATGATCCGGTTTCAAAGCAAGCAAGAGGAAAGGGCCTCGAGGTGGTTGGTGAAAGGCTCAAAGCTATGTCAGAGAAGTTTGGGATACCAGTTGAGTTCAATGCAGTGCCTGTGTTTGGGCCCGAAGTGGAACTGGAGATGCTTGACGTGAGGCCTGGTGAGGCCCTCGCGGTGAACTTCACATTGCAACTTCATCACACCCCTGACGAGAGTGTTGACGTCCGCAACCCACGAGATGATCTCTTGAGAAGGGTGAAGGCACTTTCTCCCAAAGTCATGACTTTGGTCGAACATGAATCGAACACCAACACGGCACCATTTCTCCCTAGGTTTATGGAGACATTGGAATATTATTCTGCCATGTTTGAATCAATAGATGTTTCGCTGGCAAGAGATAGCAAGGAGAGGATCAATGTTGAGCAACATTGTTTGGCAAGGGATATTGTGAATATTGTGGCATGTGAAGGGCGTGATCGGATTGAGAGGCATGAGTTGCTGGCGAAATGGAGGTCAAGGCTCATGATGGCAGGATTTAGACCTTACCCACTTAGTGGTTATGTGAATTCAGTTATAAGGTCGCTGTTGAAGTCGTACTCGGAGAATTACACATTGGAGGAGAAGGATGGGGCGCTCTTGTTGGGATGGAAGGAGAGGAACCTCATATCAGCTTCGGCCTGGCAGTGAGGTAAAGGAATTGATTGAGCCTTTGTTTTGTTGTATGTTTACTGTAGGTAGACATTTACTATTGCGCTTGTCTGTTTCTTGTTTCCGTGTTAAGAGTAGAAATGAAGGGCTTCTTGCCTGAGCTACTGTGCTGACTGTAATGTACGCTGGTGGTTAGGATTGGACTGAATAATAGTGGCTGTTCTGATGCTCCCATTGGATATTGTGCTCAGTTTACCCACCCTCGAGTCTCTCTTTCACATGTATGGTTTTGGAAAGTATAACATAGTCCACACAATTGTGACAACAGTAGGCCTATAAGGTTATCGCTTTCCAATCAATGGGTTGGGTTTGAAGGTGATTAAATAGGTTTCATGGGGGAAGCTATCTCCCTCCATCACCATCCAAACGGAATAGTGATGACTAACAGAATGGAATTGCAGTAGTCGATTCCATTTTAAGAACGGTAGCGGGCTTTATAAAGTTTGAAATGAATGTTTTCTAGAGAAAGTGAGAAAAGGGTGAAAAATGAAAAAAAAAGATGAAAAATAACATAAAAAGTGAAATAAGTGGAATTTTTTTTTTGGCTATGTATAATACCATTTCCGGCAAGTTGAAGGTAACCGTTGTTTTCTATGTTTATTTTATTGGTTTCATAACGTTTTAAAGGGAAAAATGGCCATTATTTTCTGTAGACAAACCTTCAATTCTGACCAGCTCAACTTTCTATAGCGTCATGGTTAAGGGGTATTTCCTTTATGGTGAACGTTATAACCGTTATGACAGCCATATTTCAAACCTTGGTAATGAACCCTAGTACCATGTTGTTGCCATGACCATATGAGTCATGGCAAGCTTTAACATCAACCGTGTTTTAAAACTTGGCACTCTGCGAATCCAGACAGGATAATCGTTTTAAGCTCATTTGGTGTGGACTCGTACATTGATCTCTCATGGTTCCACCAAATTACTAGTCTGCAGCTTTTCTTTTAAAATTCATTGAATTTTCAACTGGAGTTATGGGCTAACTTTAGTCGGAATCCGTAGTTTTAGAGACTTGATTTGGATTTATCAACTGCACTCGTATGTCTCCTTCTAAGGTTGTCCAAAAATCTCATAGACCTTGTAGGACGGTGTTACCATTTATTAGATGAATTCTTAGGATAGGGAATTTGTTAGGGCTTGTATTCACCTTTTAAAGAGCTAGCATCTCACTTGTAACAACATGCATCAGGTGCTGCTACTGCAACATGCATGTGTGTTCATGCTGGTTATTGTAGTTTTTGTAGATGGAGAGAGAGATTGTTGATTTCTGTTTTGAGAGAGAATCTGTTGATTGTTATTTTCGTTGGGAGAGCGGTGGGATTTATCCCTTTAGAAAGCTAATTTAACTGTTTTGTGGCGGTGGGGTTGTAGCCTGCTCCATATTTAGAAATGAGAAGTATAGAATAAGACTACCTATATTTGGTTGTCAAATTGCATATTTGACGTCTATAAAGTGCTTGTGATCTCTTTGTATCATATGTATTTGGCGTTATAGTATTCAATCCAAAAATAATAATAATTTTAGTTATTGACTGGTCTTTTAGGACTATTGCTTAAATGTAAAATGAAATATGATGGTTGTCAGCTCGAAAGCAATGCATATTCTTTCTCCGCTGCTGTATCAAATAACTCTAAGCCTCCTCTCTTATCTCATCGGATATAAAAGATTTCTCTTTTTTATTTTGAAAATTCATTTGACATTTCATATTCATTGTAATCATGGTTAGATTCTAAATCTTTACAATTTTAGATTCAAAATCCATCTTTAAAATAGATTTTGGAGACAAAACTCATTTAAATAGTTGAGGTGGGGGACCTAGCGTGGCCTTGTCCTCATTAAACTATTAGTCCTTTATGTCGTCTTGCCATAAAGAAGGTAGGGGAACTTAACTCCCTATTAGTGGATCTGTGCGGTACCGCTATTCATCATCGCCTAGTTTCTTCTCCGATGTTTGTGTTTCCCCTATTTTCGTGTGCTGAGTGGGGAATAATGTCCTTGTAAGATATATATATATATATAATGTCCTTGTAAGAGAGAGGGGAATATTCAAAATACAAAGGTTCAAGATAGAGAGAGTTGTGAAGGGTGGATTAATTAATTTTGTAGTCGATTCTTTAAAAAAAGTTATTTTTGTAGGGCAATTTTGTAAATATTATTACAAGACAAGATATTTTTGTCATCTCTATAAAGGGTAAAATTGAAATTTTAATTAAAGGACAAAGACACTCTACAAATAAAGTTTTAGGACATTAACTTTTAAAATGGTATTGTATTTTTATGAAAATTTCAAATTTATCATTGCTTAATGGTAAAGTTACTTATTTAAAGAATTTTTTAATAAAAAAATAATGATTGTTTTGATAATTACACCCATTACAACCCCTTCTAACTTGAACTTTTTGTATTTTGAGGGTTTGTTAAGTAGTCGTGGAAGCGAAGGCACACAGGGGATAG